CAATTAATTTGTTTCAGTATTAAATTATGTAAGTCAGCTAAACATTTGTACAAAATTTATTTTTCTCTACATACTTTTGAATGTTAAAACACGACATTCTTCTTGGCTGACTGGTTCAGTCCTATTTACCGATCACTTATAAATGCTTTTCGTTTTAGTGATTTTAATGATATACAAGTTTTGCTCTTACTAGGTATTTGAGCAATTTCAAGGAAATTTTTTAAATTTTATTTGGAAATAAATAAAATATGTTTAATAATGATTAGTCTATGTATGTTTTTTCACGTGCGTTACAAACATGGAAAGATTTAAAAATTTTATTATTATAACGATAATTGAATTTCGTTATTTTAATACCGCTCATATGGCATAAGTAATTGAACCTTAGTACCTGAACTTAAAATGTTGACCGAGAAGCAATTGCAAATTCACAGCCAAGTCACGGCGAATTCAATAATTTTTAATAATAATCAGTATATTCTGGACCCAGTTGTTTTTTTGAGCAAAACGGTCATGGTCTGAAGGTATAAAATAAAATATAGATAAATATGAGATTAATAATCCTTCCTTGTCTGCAGTCTAGCCGGTCACCAAATCATCATACCCATTGTAGGTTGCTGACAGCCAGTCACGAAAAAATTTTAATAAGTGTATGATCTCAGCAATGCTTTTCCTTCCAGAAGGATGTGTAATGTATGAAAAGTTGGTGCACCCGGTTTAATAATAGTTATTTTAATAATAATTATTTAATAGTTATTTGAACAACTTTTCTTCAACTACAGTTTGGAGAATAAATGTGGGGCAATAATAAATAATGATAAAAATTATCAAATAAATTTTTCAAAACTCATTCAACTTTCCAATATAAACTCAAGTCATACTCTCCTTTATTTCACTCCATCAAAAATATATTTCAATCTCAACAGTTATAGACCTGCTCTTTACCGTTAGCTAATTAATCATTGATGCCATAGGTGACAAGTTGATATATCTAATCCAAACTACAGAAACTAATAAATTATTTAATCACCAAACACGCTCAAAAACATCTATGCGAAACAAATGTTGTATTATATTCAAACAAAACGCGTCTAAAAAATTAATAAATAGACAACCGTTAGAGCAGAATAACAACGAGTAACAACATTAACATAACGTTATCATGACATTAACCTCATTATTCTGAAAAATGTGAAAATAATCAAACAGCATCATAAACCAAAATATAAATTTGACCAAGTCAGGTGACGGACAGGCAAGTGGTCACTCAGAGCCAGCAGGTAGGATCCCACCACTTCCTGTCATATCTTCCAGGGGCGTAACATCGACATCTTCGGTTGTTCCTCAGAAAGTGCGGGTAGCAGATGCTTGGATATTGGAAGCAGTGGCCGCTAATGGCGTCCAAACAAACCTGGCAGAAGCTGTTGCACGTTCTGTAGAAATAAGTTCCCAACTCTGAGGATGGCTCGGAACAGCGGTTCCATTCTCTAAAGAACTCTATGAAGGTTTTAATAGTGTTTATTTTAAATTATTTTACTTGATTTAATATTATTTGTTTAAAATTTTAAAGAAAATTATATATTACAAACAAAATCTTAATGACTATGAGACATTTGAAACATATGTTTGATACGATATTTGTCGATGAAATTTCCAGCAGGGACTAACCTAAGAAGCAGTTAGGTTTGGACGTAGAGATAACTACCGATACGCAGACGAGGAGATAACACAATCTCATGTACAACTTCATTCTATGCCGCACTGTCAAATAAACCGTTTCATCAGTTTCAGACAAATTTAGCTATACTTAGGAACTCATTTCATTATTATCATATGACGTGACGTTATTTTAAATTAACACCAAATTTGTCCCATGAATGTGTCATAATGTTTCAAATGAATGTTGAGTTGTTTTAATTAGTTTTCCTAAAACTGAGATATTTAAATTAATTGAAATTAAAAATGAAAGTTCGTTGAAAAAATGTGTCAAATATTGGTGTATTTAACAATTATAAGTTAAGTTATAAGTTATTACGGCTAACCTCAATAAATTTAATTTCGATGAAAATTAATGAGCCTACAAAGTATCTAACCTGGATTTTTTTCTTCAACTGAGAAACCTTTTAAATAATTATTTATTTTACTAGTTATTTAAATAAATAATTGAATAATTAATTAGTTGAATAAAGAATTAATTAAAATTTCACAAAAGTTTGTTACACTATATCAGGTGGTGTTGTTTGTCCTGTGCAAGAGCGAACACTATTCGTAACCTCACAGTCAAGAAATTTGTTTAGAATGATTTGTGCGCACAGTTGTACGTGCTATTATAATTTTAGTGTAAAATATTCTCATACAATAATTTCTAATCAAAACATTGCTTAACATATAAAACCAAACTTAAGATTTTGTAGAAGACACAACCATAATTTGTACGAGATGGAACAAAAAATGAACAATTCACTTTTTAGCTTTCAAAAATTTTAGTTTAAAAATTTCAATAAATTAGAAATATCTAGCTGTTGTCACAACATGCATAATATAGATAGTTTGGTGTAGATTTTATTCATTGTTTACCATTCAGTGTTATTACATAAGAGGTGAAATCGTGTGTTGGTTAACGCGCCTGGTCCCGATGTTGTGGATGCCAGGTTCGACAGCAAAGAAATCCCCGTTTAACACTTCCAATGTGTTTGATTCACGCCTATTCACATGTATCTGCTGTGTTGTTTGTGCCTTCCAAGCATAATTTAGAAAGAAATTACTATAACTATAACTATAATGATATTCATAATACATTTATAAAAGTTGCCGAAGTCTTCATCGATATTAAAAAGTTTAAGTTTTGCAAATTTTACTGTTAGCTTGAATATTTAATTTATTAACTGTTCTTTACCAATGATAATTTTTTTGTATCGACATAATCACTTCTATAGTAATTAATTTTTCTTTTATAGTTCTTCAATTATAATTGACTCATTGAAGTCTTTGATGACGTAAAGTTAATTTGTTACGTAATTTGACCCTTTCAGGTGTTTATTGTTGGATTTTTTGGGCGGCAATAATAAATTTTAGGCAATCAATCAAATAGACAATTTTTAACAAAAGTAAAGTTGAAACATTCATCACTTTTTTTAAGTTCTGTCCGGCTTCAATCTTTTACGGCGCACTGGACCACAAGCTATTGCCATGTTATTGTATAATAATCGAAAATTTTTGAAACTCAAAAATTAATTAATTAATTAGTTAATTAATTAATATTAATCCAATTAATTTGTTTCAGTATTAAATTATGTGAGTCAGCTAAACATTTGTACAAAATTTATTTTTCTCTACATACTTTTGAATGTTAAAACACGACATTCTTCTTGGCTGACTGGTTCAGTCCAATTTACCGTTCACTTATAAATGCTTTTTGTTTTAGTGATTTTAATGATATACAAGTTTTGTTCTTACTAGGTAGTTGAGCAATTTCAAGAAAATTTTTTAAATTTTATTTGGAAATAAATAAAATATGTTTAATAATGATTAGTCTATGTATGTTTTTTCACGTGCGTTACAAACATGGAAAGATTTTAAAATTTTATTATTATAACGATAATTGAATTTCGTTATTTTAATACCGCTCATATGGCATAAGTAATTGAACCTTAGTACTTCAACGTAGAATGTTGACCGAGAAGCAGTTGTAAATTTACAGCCAAGTCACGGCGAATAAATAATTATTAATAATAATCATTATATTTTGGGCTCAGTTGAATACGAGATTAATAATCCTTCCTTGTCTGCAGTCTAGCCGGTCACCAAATTATCATACCCATTGTATGTTGCTGACAGCCAGTGAAGTTATATGAAAACATTTTCGATATAATGTTTCCCTTAGAACCTTCAATATTTAAAAAATATGAAGAAATGTGATTTGCCCGAATTACGAAGAAAAAATATTTCACTCAAAGTATTTTTGCCCTTCCTTCATTGTTTTAATAAGGATTAAATTTAAATGAAATCCAAGTTCAAGGAACAAAAAATTCACCAACTTCTGTAAGTTAAGTATTTTCTAATATTATGTTGTATTTTCCTGGTTCCGTCGAATTGTTTGAAGGGACAAGTGCCAGCAGAGGCGGATCTAGACAACATTGACGGCAGACCAAAATTTTGAAATTTGACGAGGGGGGTAAAAAACTGTATAAACTTTGGCTGGCTTAGACATAGTGAGTGTCCAAAAGATTCTAAATCAGTTAAAAATAACATTGGAATTGCCATTCCTATGTTTATTCATGGGCGGATCTAGACAACTTTTTTAAATTTTGTAATCTGACGGTGGGCCATAAAACTGACAAAATTTATAAAATGTGATTTTTTTCTAAAATCATTGTTTCATTTTCCTTGTTTAAATATTCTTACAGCGTTATATAGGTACTTTCCAATTTTATAATATCGTCTGGCTCACTGTAACAGATTCTGCGTCCGACGTATTCTGAATTTTTTTTAAATAATAAAAACACTATAGTTTTGAAATTCTAAATTTAAATTTAATTAATTTAGATAAAGCAAAATTAAAAGTAATCGAAATTAATCATAAGCATATTTGAACAATAAGAAAAATTGAATGAAATGTTTTTTAAATAGAACACTCATACATTGAAATTAGTGTCAGCCTGAACAAGTCATCGGATCTAGGAGACTTTTGACCTCTCGTGCAGTCGGTCGAAGGTCAGGGTCAGCACTCCAGGCCCTCTCGTACAACATTTTAAATTCGGCGTCTTCGTATTTGGAGGTGCTGTGACATTGAACCTCATCGGGTCGTAGATTCGAAGAGACAACCTTGAAGATGATCTCGGACTGACCTCTGCCGTGGTACGGAATCTTTCGACTCGTCATTTGCCACATTGTTATTGCGAATGAATAGATGTCGGCTTTTGGAGTCGGCACTTCGCCGTTGAAGAGTTCTGGTGCAGCGTAAGCTGCGGTTCCTGCGAGGGAGCTCGTCCGCTTGAGGGTTGTTGTTTTATCTTGGTACTGAACTGACTCACGACATCCGAAGTCTCCCAGTTTGCAGCGATCGTCTGATGTCACTATCACGTTTGATGGCTTTAGATCCAGATGCATTATTCCAGAATCGTGAATGTACGTTATCGCACTGATTATGTCCTGGCAGAATCTGTTAATGAAATAATATTTTTGAAATAAGAGAATTTAAATAAAAAGAATAACGGAATGAATGTAACTAACCTTATTTTCCTGTTAAAAGAAATTTTTTTATAAGGATCGCTGATAACAGTCAGCAAGTTTTTCTTCCCAGCATATTCCATAATGATTAACGAATTCTGTTCGGTATGTTGGGAACTATTCAGAAGCAGAAATTTGCCGATATTTCCACGGTCCATCGTCGTTTATCATCCATATGTCCAGAGTCCAAGGCTCCTTTTTTAAATCTGTCCACAGAAAAAAAATTTGATATTTTGTTTTCTATCGAATCCAGTTTCCACTCATCAATCTTTAAACTGTCCTGCGGTACGTATGGAGGGTACCTCCATACTTGCCGCATCGTCGTTAAAAACGTTCTCTCGAAAATTGCTTCTCATCATGCGACAATTAAGATATGAAAACTGTAAAGTAAACTTTGTAAGAGTGCCACGATACATCACAAGTATTTATACATTTTTCGCAACTGAGAACGTCATTCAGTATCTGGAGATTCCATCGCTTTTAAGATGAACCACACTATAATGGTGTCTGGTTTCTTCTCTTTTCTTGACAAATTTTATTTTGAAGGCCATAATTTTTGTTCGTAAATTCATTTACCAGATAAATTATGAATAATATTTGATTGAATGTGAACATACTAGATCACTCCGCAGCAGCTCAACAGGTTTCTTAAACACTCCCGTTGCCGGATCCCGCCTGGCTGGCCGCGGTTTTCGTCACGCTGCTCCGTACGTCTGGAATGCGTTACCTCTGAGTTAAGACAATGTTCCTCGTTGAGTCTTTTCAAAAATGGATTAAAGACTCATCTTTTTAACACGGGCTCCGGGCGCCTCTGAAGCAACTGTGCGAATGGACGCTTCATAAATGTTTATATTATTATTATTATTATTGTGTTATTTGATCAAAGTTTTTGTTTTCAAAAATAAATAATAATCCCCAAAAGCATTGTATAGAACCTTAATTTCAAAGTGGCTTACACGGAACTTTTCGACTTCATTCCGTCTCCGTGACAGTTCAGTTAACAACTTACACGATTTTACACTTCTTTTTTTAGAGTCTTAAAATGTGGACAGTAGTTACAGAAAATCATTGATGTGATGCATTCATGCATCAATATACATTTTGTTTATTAATTAGACCTGCAACGTCCACTAAATGTTATCTGAAGTTACAAGGAACTAATAAAATGAATTTCTATTTATGCCCAACTCTTAAAATGATAAAATAATTAAAGTAATACATATAATATAATTTAGTAAATACCCTACGCATACACATCGATGTCGATTGGCAATTAGAGAGTAAAATTTTATTCTAGATGATGATATTTTTTAAAATTAAAAAAAAATATAATTTATATAATTTTTATACTAGATTACTATATGATATCATATTTTATTCTATTGTTATTTTAGATGATTAAACGTTAAACACATCAAAGGTATCGCATTTCAAACCATCAAGTTTGTCATTTCAGTTTTACAATTCAATTAACTCCCATCTCGCATATTAGCGATCTCTAATCATACAGGAATTTATTAGCCATCTATGTTGTCATTTCAGCCATACAATTCACACATTGATACATCATTTCAAAAACTCGCTCTGCAATTATAAACAGATTCAACAATCATCAAGTTTGTCATCTCAGTCATACAATTCACACACATTTGTATGTCAATACGAATTTATAAACAGTTAATGTCAAAGTTGATACGCGAAACTTTTTTGATTTCATTCCGTCTCGGTAATCGCTTATTTAAAGATGCCTAAGTGTAATACGCAATGGCAAATCCTCTCCCAATTCCGACTCAAATTTAACATTCACCCAATCTCTGCTTAAATGCATTTATTTCGCTAGCAGTATAACAAAATCCTCATTCAAACTATTTCAAATATTAACGTTTTAATAATATAATGAAAAAAATTTCCTTGAGTTGATTCAGAAAGATGACGCTGTTGGCTTTTTTTACTGTTTGGCCCACCTCATGTGCATCTGTCGACTTGTAGGTTAGTACTAGTTCGTGATGAACGCTGATAACGGTAATAGAGTGCGGTACAAAATTTTTTGGCTTCGATGTGTTTTAATGTGCATATTTAGTATTTACATACATTCTTTTAAAATCCAACTTAAACTTTCACTAAAATAATATTCCGGAAAACTTTTTTTCATAATTTATTTTTAAATGAACAATTAAAAAATAAATTTATTGGCGCTAAAATATTTTTTTTTTATTTACAAATTTTGAATTTACAAAAGCTCAATAAAAAATTCAAAATTGAATTGTACGACAAATTGTTTTACAACATTTTTAATCAAAGTAAATTGTTTTTAAAGACTCGAAACCACAAAAAAATATATTGTATGAAAACTCATTTGACATAAAAAATGTAATTGCTATTCACTTCGTAATGCATTAAATTAAATTTCAAGCTACATCTGGGCGATGGTGTAGTGGTAAAGTGTCTGGCACTTATACCGCAGTGACCGGGTTCGACGGCAAAGATATTCCAGACTATCACATGCAATGTGTGTGATGAGTTGTTTCACGTGTATTTGCGTGCACCGTGTGTTTGTTGCTGTTGTTGATGATGTTTCTGAAAAATATTAAAGAAAGAATAGTAATAAATAAATAACTAAAAAAAATAAGTAAACCATTTCATTTATGACTAAATAATAAAAAAAGAATGTCTGATTGAACTAAATTTGAACCGCAGCCGAACAATTAAATAAGTTTACTAAGGTAACATTGATTCTAACGCTTTGAAAAAAGTTGTACAAGCAAAATTGTTTACAAAAACTTGTCACATGAATCCACATTTAACAATTTGTTTCAGTCACACAACTTCTTACGGCAATACATGTCCTCTTCATCCTTCAGCCAAATCCTCATGACTCCCATATAAGGACTGCCGGGATATTGATCCACGGCAGACAGCCAACTTGCATCATCATAGTCCACGTCATACCAGCTGTTGTTGTTGGAATCCAGGGTCGGAGCTGACGGAGAACACTTCCATGTTGTGTCGGACTGGATGGAGCCGTCGTTGCTGAATGCCAAGATGCTTCCTGAGTGGAAAAGTAATGTCCTTTCAAACTGGTAGGTCATGTGTTGGGCCATCTAGATTGATTCTTAAATCCTAATAAAAACTGATTTTCAATCAAACAAATATTTTCGCAATTTAAAAATTTGACAGAAAAATTTATTCTAAAACGAATATCTTCATTTTTTAATAAATTTCAGCCAACATTAAGATGAATATTCAAAAGTGGATTTAAAGATGAATGCAGCTCACTTCCGGTTATTGAGTTGTGAGCATGGATCGCAATGACTTGGATGTGAAATGGGACGATGTAGGAGTCGTACCTATTGTAGGTGCTCCAGTTGGGCATGCGCTGTTGGGGCACTCCGTCGAAGTACAACGCGACTATCCTGTCGTCAGCTCCTATCGTCAGGTTCCGGATTACAGCTTCTACATAAAAATTTTCACATGTTGTTTGATCAGAAACTTTCACATTTTTGGCAATATTTTCATTTGAACGTTTTATAATTGCTAATATAGTTTTATATTGCTAATATAATATGTATCTAACAAACCTGGCAGATACATGTGATGACAGCCATCTATATTCTGAAAACATCTTAGAGGTTCGTCATAAAATATTTTACAGATTTTTGAATTTTCATTAAAATTGAAAGCGAGGCAGTGACTGTTGTTGGAGCAGGTCCAGGTGCATGAAACAAACGCTCTGCTGGATGATATGTCGTTGAATGTAGTTTGCAAGGAGGGCTCATCGCAACAACATTCATCTTTCTGCTGACAGTTCAAACGTCTAGTGAAACATGTAGCATCGCAAATGCTGTTTTTGTGAACAGTGAAGGTAGCTGAAACTATGAGAAGGCCAATATATTTCGACCAGACCTGCGTAACCATAGCTGTGTTATCATACGGAATTTCACTTAAATAATCTTTATAATAAAAAAAACTTTAGTTCGTAATTAGGCTAAGAGATTTTTATTTTCTACCATTCGTTTCAGTTAGAATTTGTTTTTTAAAGCGTTAATTTAGCCTAAGCCTGTTTTTATAAATTAATTCCTTTTGTATTTCTTTTTATGTTGTATTAAATATTTTTTATATTCACGTACAATTTCTGTCGAATCCTTGCTATATTTCCACATATTCGTGGTTGTGTGTACTATACATGTAAGAGGACTCCATGCCTCGAATCAATATTTTTTGTTGACTCATGTCCACCTCGTCAAATAAACCATGCCACCATGAGCAAACACTTGAAAATAAAATTAATTAAACAATTTTTTTACTTAATTTGGATTTTTTTCTTTGTGGTAGATGTTTCGCCGCCGCAAAAGGAAAAAAATTAAATCAATTTTGAAAAAACTCATGATTTTAATTTTTTGGTGGTTAAATAAATTGAAAGTTTAAGACATTGCTGTAAAGCTTTTTTGAACATTTGAACCCTAACCCTAACCATAACCCTATTCAATCAAATGAAGGCTTCCATGTTTTACATTGTACAAACTTGAAAACTTTGCTATAAAAGTTGTAATTTTTGTTTAAGCAGTAGTGTTTATTACATGGAAGTGTGCAGTTCCGAATATATTCAATAAACCTAAGCTTCCTGAGTTACTGACCTTTCTATAAGTTTAGATATTCATGTAAAGTTTATATCCAGTGTAGATTTCTGGTTTTTGGATATCTAGAGAGTTGAACGGAAGTAGAAGCAAGAGCATATCAAGAGTGAGATGGGGGTACTTTTCACCATAAATCATTTTTTCGTAACATTTAAAGGCCCAAAAAGGAACAAATTTTTATTAGTCTCATCATCTAATCTCTTGATTGATTAAGCAATTAAACTATTGCAATATGTTTCCTTTCGGCTTTGCCAGAGCGATGCTATCGATGACTCGTTATTGTTAGCTGACAATTTTTGAACCACCAGAAAGTGGGGCTTTGAGCTACTGATTTTGTTACTTACGTGTGCATCCTGTAAAAAGGCATATAGAATAAATTCCGATTCAGTTTTGATTTTGCTGCAGTTATACTATAAATATAAGATAGTTTCTTAAAAAAAACCCATGTAATTGTGCCATTGTAAAAAAAGCGAATAATTTAGGAATACTCAGTTGAATAAATCTTCTCTTAAAAACTACTAAAACTGTAAAATAGAATTCCAAAAAAATTATTGAATAACAAAAACGTACTCCATTATTCTGCAGTTCCTTCAATAACTCAAGTAACTCAGATGGAATTTGCTGGGTGGATGGAGTTTGAATAGTTTATGAAAGCGAACGAACACTTCTATGTTTGAAACAGTATTTCTATGGATATGGAAGCCAAAACAATTAAAAAAATTAACATGCATAGTACCAGTACCAATTCCTGGTTTGCATGTAAGAGATAGTCCGATGAGAATGTTTTCATGCTATGATAATTCTAACTTATATGGATTAGTGTTTTTAGATTTTTAAGGTCTTTTGTATAATTTTATATAAATGTTTAAAATTGTTTCGCAGTTTTAGTGGCCACAAAAATTGTTTAGATTTCATTCGAATTTACAAAGAATTTTTATTAATTGCAATTAATTTGTGAAAAATTGTTACACGGCTATCAGTTAGAATTTGATTCGTTGATAAATATTGCTTCACTTTTTGTTCAGAAGCTACAAATTTTGCAGAAATTAAGTTGGGAAAAAATAGAAAATAGTAGTTGATTGGTTTTTTTCAGTAGCCTACGTGGTTTTTTTCATGACAAAAATACGTAGGTCTAATGAACTAGTTCAAAAATATTTTAGCTGATCTATAGACACCTGACAAAAATTTTCAAATCAAAATTTCAAATAGTTTCAAATAATTACAAATTTGTAACAACATATATAGATAATATGTGTGTACGCTCGTCAGGAATGATTCAGGAATTGAACTGCGATACTTGAACCTAAAGTTGACCGAGGAGCATTTGCTTCATTATCATATATTTTATTATTATTGTGTGTATTTTTATTGTTATATATTTTATTATTGCTGTATATATACACGTTCATTAACCCACTGTCAATATTCATCTGCATAACTTTGTATAAATTATAATAGTGGTTTGACTCTTGAAGGTAGTTTATAGCGAAGAAAAAAGTTTCACAAAACTTGAAAATTTTTGAGTCTTGGAAATTGAAAAATCATTTAAGTTTTATTAAGTTTCACGAATTTCTTACTTTTTATAATTTGTTAGCGGAATTGGGAAACCTTATTTTAACAAAGGCGATATATTTTTTGAAGTTGAACCTTTAGGTGAAGGGAGATGGAAATTGAACCATGAACGTTCAGTTTAACAGCTCACTATTTTTGAAGTTAGCACAATTTAAGTTAATTTGAGAATTGCGAACAAAACGAATGTTGAGTATTTTTGGTAATTATGAAAAAACAAAGTTTTTAAAAAAATTTATTATGCAAAAAATTTTTATAGTGAAAACAAAATGAAAACGTTATTAAATTAAATAGTCTATATAGAAATTCACAAATAAACATTAAATTAAAAATGTTTTTAAATAGATTTTTTCACGTTAAAACTAGTGTCAGCATGAACAAGTCATCTGATCGAGGAGACTTTTGACCTCTCGTGCAGTCGGTCGAAGGTCAGGGTCAGCACTCCAAGCTCTCTCGTACAACATTTTGAATTCGGTGTCTTCGTAATTGGAGGTGCTGTGGCATTGAACCTCATCAATATAGTCGGGTCGTAGATTTGAAGAGACAACCTTGAAAATGATCTCATGCTGATCTCTGCCGTGGTACGGAATCTTTCGACTCGTCAGTTGCCACATTGTTATTGCGAATGAATAGATGTCGGCTTTTGGAGTCGGCAATTTGCCTTTGAAGAGTTCTGGTGCAGTGTAAGCTACGGTTCCTGCGAGGGAGCTCGTCCGCTTGCGGTTTGATGTTTTATCTTGGTACTGAACTGGCTCACAACATCCAAAGTCTCCCAGTTTGCAGCGATCGTCTGATGTCACTATCACGTTTGATGGCTTCAGATCCAGATGCATTATTCCAGAATCGTGAATGTACGTTATTGCACTGATTATGTCCTGGCAGAATCTGTTAATAAAATAATATTTTTGAAATAAGAGAATTTAAATAAAAAGAATAACGGAATGAATGTAACTAACCTTATTTTCCTGTTAAAAGAAATCTTTTCATAAGGATCGTTGATAACAGTCAGCAAGTTTTTCTTCCCAGCATATTCCATAATGATTAACGAGTTCTGTTCAGTAGGTTGGGAACTATTCAGAAGCAGGAATGAGTCCTTTGACAATCCATTAAGAAATGGAGACTGAGGTATTGGACTGAGGCATCCCATGATCGTCTTTTGGGGAGGACATAGTAAACTTTGTGAAGGAGATGCCGCTAAAACTTCAACAATGTTTGGATGTTTCAACTGAGCTGCTCTACATTCCGCTAAAAAACTTTCCTCTTTTGCTCTGGCATTTTTAACGTTCTTGTGAAACTGCTTGACAGCGACTATTTGACCAGAAGCCGTTCCCAAATAGACGGAGCCAAATCCTCCGGCTCCCAAAAGCTGTTTGAAATGAATTTTGTTCACGCTAGATGTAAGAACGGAGTTGGGAGCGAGACCAGCCGACCTGTCCACGGACCATCGTCGTTTTTCTTTCAGACGCCGAGAGTCCGAGACCATCTTCCTCGATCTGTGCTGCATCGAAAAAGATTTTGACGACCTCCTATTTTCTATCGAGTGCAGTTTCCATTCTTCGATGTTTGAATTCGGCTTATCGACGCTGAAGATTTTCTCACCAAAAATTGTTTTCATCATGCGGCAGTTGAAACGAAACAGCCGTAGGATAAACTTTTCAAGATTGCCATAAACTTTCTCGAGTATTTATACTTTTTCACAGCTCAAAACGTTGTTCTGGCTTGAGGGATTGGCAGCATTTATGAAATTTACTATACTACAAGGATGCATTGTTAGAAGATGATTCCATTTCAGATTTCATTCAATACAAGCAAAATTCTGTTATATTATAACATACTTACGTACTAACAAGCCAAACCCGAACGTCGCACACTTTTTTATATGTGACATATCTACATTAGTAAATTCAACTTTAACATGTACTTTTGAGCTTGATGTATCAAGCTTTAACATTGTTTTAAATACGGACATTATATATTAGACTCCATTGATTTATTTTATATTAACTCTAATTAGGTTCGTACAAAGATTGTCACATTGTTTTGGAGTATAAATTGTTTGATAAAGTCTTTTAATTACTTGAACATATTAATTGGCTAAAAAATTCCATGTGATAGCTGTCTTGTTAGCTGGCTGGTTTGTATCAATCATTGCAATATCTTCAAATATATATATATATATACAATTTACATATTTATTAAATAAATTCATTTAAGCAGCACACATTCCTACAAACCTCAAATGAAGGTGACAACACGTACATGGACAAGAGCGATTAGTTGAATAACGTTTTCAATGACGTCATCTTCTTTCTAACCAATAAAAAATCATAAAACTTTCAAGTGGCTACAGTAAGGTTAGGTAACTTTTGTAAATTCTTAATAGTTTTTTCATTCGTTTAAACGACGGAAGGTGTGAGAAGTTAATTTTAAAGTGTATCAATCGAGCTAAGAAAGAACACGCCTTCGAAGATTACTCTCGGGAAACTTTCTGCACATTTGAGACACAAAACAGGTTAATATAATACTGTACAATATAACACAATACAATACAATATCATTCAATACAGTACAGTTTTGACTGCTGGTGTTCTTACCGTGAGCTAGACTGGTTGCTTAAAGTAACAAAAATGACACAAATATTTTGAGTCAAAAATATCAATTTGCTTAATGACAATTTTCGAAAATATTTCATAATTAAAATTAATGGTAAGTTGTTTCACAGAAAAAAATTCAAAGCATCGTGTTCTTCTGTCAAATTAGTCTAAACCATATACCATATATTTAGTTACATGTCGCATTTCATATTTTTGGACATCGCTAGATAATATCACGAGACTTATAAGTTCTCTAAGAGCCAGACAAACGATACTAACATATCTTAAATGCTAGCTGGGCTAAAAGAAAGTGGCGTTCTTTTGTAGAAATTCTGAAATAAACCTAAAATCATTTACATCACTCCCTTCTTTTGGAAACTACGATATTTTATACCTTAGTTCAAAGTGAAATTTTTGAGCCATGTAACGTTAATTAAACGTTGTGTGTAGGATTTGGCTCAAAATATTATTGTATATAGGTAGTTGATGTTCGTATAATGGTGCAATATATAAATATGTACAAGTACATACTGCACGTTATTATTTCAATAAATTTAATATTTTTCTACTCTAATTTCGCGTTTTCTCATCATATCAAATATGTACAGGTAGAAATGTTCTAATTGTTTATTTGGCAAATAATAAAGTTTTAAACTGCTATCACTTTGAAGTTTGGATTTCAATTAAATAATTTACAATAAATTTCATTAACGTTTATTCTTTGTGATCTTGATGTCAATCACTACCAGACTAAGTTTCTTAGTGCTTGGAATTAGAAATAGGTATTGAACCACACTTTTTGACTTAAACGTTGTGTATCTGATTACTCCGAGGTTCATATTTACAAATTAAAAAAAAGAATGCGTGACGTCAACACTGCTCTTGTTTTTAGAGAGTTTATAATTTTAAAAATACAATAGGGTAAATAATACAAGTAAAAAACACCGTGTCAAAAGTTGACGTAATCAGTGTTGTAATCAATGATCTTTCGATGACGTCATCCTGGTATCACATGGTACAAATAAAATGATCAGCTGGGTGCAATGCCGAGCTAACGATTCACTGGTTCGTAGCCACCATCATATGATGGCTTGCGCTGTATTTTGAATTTTGTTAAGTACTTATTTTACCAAAAACTTTGTTAATAATCGCTCGTTTTAATTTTTAAATAAAACTGTTAGTGTTATTTAATTAATATTCATTTTTTTACGCCTGGATTATTTTTTAAAAGAGTCAGATGGCTGAAGTTCGATCCGGAACGGGTATGAACGATTCCGGCAGTCACCGCCCATCTGCGTCATTTTCATCAATAAATATAAATTATAATGAAATAGGAGCTGAGGTTAACGAGGCTGACGTTGGCGAGTCTGCCCAACTACGGCCTTCATCATCACAGGTGCAAGGTGTGTTTGTTCACTTTTTCTTTGTTTTTCCATGTTGTCCGCTGGTCAGTTGACGAGTTTTGAATGAGAAACATATGAATAAAAAAAATGAAATGAAACTGAAAACATTGTCTGAATAGTGAATATTATACTATAAATTAGTATTACGTTTTTATGATATAATTATAACATGCAATTTAAATTTACTTTCATTGATTTCAATTTGACTATCATTAATTAAATGTTTGTTTGTTATCCAGGAACATCATGGTACATATCGATATTCCTGGTAGTAAACATTATCATTGGTGGTGGGTTGTTGAACTTCCCCCAGGCCTACCACCAATCTGGTGGCATTCTTGTGGCTACAGTCTCTCAAATTGTAGTTTTTTTTTTATTTTTTTCAAATTTTTAATATTGTAGACTATCTCTTTACGATTTTTCTTATTGATATATGAATGAATGATGGATGAATGATGAATGAATGAAAAGATAATCAATAGATGAATGGAATTTAAATTGTGGATAAATTACTTTTTTTCATGTAAAAGTTTAATCAATCAACCAACGAAGCAAATTTTATTGATAATTTTTTTTCATCAATTAAATTTGTTCATTTATATTTTATACAATATTCTATAAATTCTACCGAATGTTTGGCGTTAATATGTTTGTAGTTCGTTTTTTCGTGAACGTTTAGTTTATTAAAATTCAAAATAAACTTAAATTTAAATTTTGATGCAAAAGTTCAATTTTGCATCAAAGTTCAATTTTACAACACCAAAGTTAATTTTTACAACGTCAAAGTTAATCTTGACAAAGTCAATATTTCCCTATATATACAACAAGGAGCACTGACGATGATTCATTCGGAATCGAAATATGGCCTTATTTGCAGCATGAATTCGAAAAATAAGTTTATTTTGAATTTTAATAAACTAAACGTTCACCAAAAAACTTTAGTGAGAAAAATCGAAAAGACGAACTACAAACATATTAACGCCAAACATTCGGTAGAATTTATAGAATATTGTTAAAATTATGGTCTATTACCAACATTTATATTTTATAACAAATACTTTTCAAACTATTGAGACCAACTTTTCTTTTTTAAAGATTTAATCTGTTTATCAACCTCAAAATGGGCAATAAATTAAAAAAAATTATTCCTTACAAAATGCTCATTATATATTTAGAAATTATTAATTTTAAGTTGTTTAATGAATAATTAATAATAATAAATTTATTTTTTCAAATTGTGAAATTTATGAAATATTTTTATAATTATTATTTTTATTTTGGCCTTGAATTTATATTTATTACAGAATTTTTTGAAATTTTTCTCCAGATCCTAATCTGCTTGATGACCTACTCCTTGATCATTTTTCTCAAATGTGCCCACATGAAACATTGTAGAACGTACCAGGATGTCATCCAGTACTTCTGCGGTCCGTACATCAACTTCGCCTGCTCGATCTTTATCTTCCTCTACACATTTGGCTCCAGCATCATCTTCCTAATTATAATTGGGGACCAGTGGGATAAAGGTCGGGTTGTTGTCGGAATCTACCCCCGTTTTGTTTGGCGGTGTTGTTTCATTGTTGAACTTGTTGAACATTTGGTGTTGTTGTTTTTTTATTGTTGAATTCTTGTGTCGTTGTTTCACTGTCGAATGGTCTGAATAATTTGCCACATTAGCAAACTTCTTTTACACATGGATGTAATTACGCAGGCAATATATTACATACAATTTCACATATAGACACTCCACAATTATCCTCACACACACACACAAACACACACACACACACAAGCACACACACACACAACAACAACAACACAGTGATGGAAAACGTTTACGACAACTTCTCGACCGCACATCCCTGGTACCTAGACAGGAAGATGTTCATCGCGGTCTCATCCATCTTCCTCATCCTTCCACTCTGCTATGCCAAGAGGATTGATTTCCTCAAATATGCCAGGTTACTTTGTTTTTAAACATTAATAAGGTCATTTGTGAGTGTATGTGTGTAGGTGTGTGTGTGTGTAGGTGTGTGTGTAGGTGTGTGTGTGTAGGTGTGTAGGTGTGTGTGTGTGTGTTAATTTTTGATATGGGCATGGGACTTTTTTTAGTTTCTGCCCACAATTCTCATCACATTCATGTCATCCCTTCGACATCTCTTCCTCAGTTCAGTTGGAGTACTGGCAGTGATGTACTGTGTACTGTTGGTGGTCGTCAAGTATTTCAAGGGGGTGGATGGGTCGAGGGTAGGCCCTGTCAAACACGAGTAAGTTGCGTGGGGTTGAGTGAGTGCGTGAGTGAGTGAGTGAGTGAATGTGTAACGAACGAATGAATGAAAGAGTGAATAAGTGAATGAATGAATGTGTGAATTGATAAATGTGTTTGATGTTTAATTGAATAATTAAAAGTTTAAATGAATGAGAATGGATATGAAAATGAATGATTGATTGAGTGAAGAATTGATTGAATGATGGGATAAATCAGTGAAGAATTGGATCAATGATTGAGTGAATGGGTGAATAAACGAGTTGATGATTGATTGAAAATGCATGTGAGTGAATTTGTAAAATTATTAATGATAAGAATTTGAAATATTATAAATGGAGAAAAATTATAAATTAATTTGATTCGTGTATAAATTTGTCTATGCACATTGCACATAGATGATGAAACCTCCAATTAGTTTAAGTAACAATTTATTTAATTAATAATCTTATTTATTTATTTATATATATTTTTTTAATTATTTTAAATTTATTGTGTAAAATTTTCTTAAAGACCTAAACACGCCTCAGATATCTTCCTTGTTGTTCCGACCATCTGCTTTGCTTATCAGGTCTTCACTTTCTAACAAATCTCTCATTTGTTTGGTCAACTTTTATACCGTCATGGAGTTGATTAATTGTTCATTTTACAAATTTTTATCATTATTGAGTAATCGATTAATTAAAACTTTAAACTGTCTAAATTGAATTCAATAAATAAATTTAATAATAATTTGTACAGTATCTAAATAGGACATGACATAAAGATTGAATAAATTAAAACACAAATTTAGAAAAAATTTATTTAATTATACACACGCACGCACACAAAACAAACACACACACACAGTCACACACACACACATTGATTGATTGATTGACTCACAGTGCCATTTAAGCATTGTTCAAGTGTACGTTTGTACGAAGGATCGAGCAAAGAATCACAATTTCACGAAGACCATTATCCTGTCTATGCTGATTTGCTTCGTCATCTACTCCATATTTGCTGTCTTTGGTTATCTGACGTTTGGTGCTTGTGTTCAGGTTAGTTTCATGAGAGGTTGGCATAAAAAATTTATTCGCTCTTCGGTGATTATTTTGCATCGTTATTAATTGTAATTAATTTTTCAAATCTGTTATACGAATTTCAGTTTAAAAATTAATAAATAAATAAAGTAATAGTATGTAAATAATGATGAGAACATTTTTTTTTAATTTTGACAGCCCGATTTGCTGCTGTCGTACAAAGCCACTCCCGAAGTTCTGGCGGGGGTGGTCAGCATTGCTCTCAAGATGTACATGTCCTACCCTATCATGCTCTATGTTGGCAGGTTGGCTCTGCAGTTTTTCAATTTTTTCCGGTTCAAATTCTTTTTTTTTGTCCAGTTGAATTACATTTTTTTTTTAGAATTTATTTTTGTTTTTGTTGTTTTTTAAATTTTCTATTTGTTTTTAATTATTTGTTTGTATTTAAATTATATTTCTTGGATTATATTTCGTGAATTGTAGATTTTTTTAATTCGTATTTATGTTAGAATTCAGAAAAATACCGATTTTATGTTTAACTACATGATTTTCATCATAATGTTTCATTTTATTTGAAAAAAAACATCTACAAAGATGTCAGTAAGTTATATGATGAGTTTATGAATTATATGAAAAATAATTCATAAAATAAAACAATAGTTTATGAAAAATATTTATTAACTTTAATTCTTGGACATTTTCAAATTCAAGATCAGTGGCAGACGACATGTACGTGGCGATTTCAGCCAAACTGTCGACATGCTGTAGAAAGTCATCACCGGCTTCTGAAGATGACGACCACACCAGATTACTAACATCACATGATGACGCTGTTACTATTAACAATAACGACAATGACGACAATCTCATTGATGTATCTAACAACAGTCTGAATGATAATAACCATAACAATCACATAAATCAGCGAGGTGTTATTATTAACGATAGCCCCAACTACAATAACAACACCAACAACTCCAACAACAACAACATCAACAACAACATAAGCGACTATGATGTTAGCAACAATAACAACAACAACAACAGTGACATCAATACGAAATCAGCAGACAGGCAGGAATTAAAACGTCGGGTGGTGATAACATCAGCCTGGTTCGTACTCTCACTGGTGATAGCTCTCTACGTACCTGGCATCGACAAAGTTATATCATTCCTCGGAGGGGTGTCTGTCCTTTTCATCTTCGTTCTTCCAGGTCTTTTTTCCCCCCTCATTAAATTTATAATCTAATTTACTCTTCATTGTTTGGATTATTACTTTATAACATTATTAACTAATTAATTATCTCATTTATTTGACGAATATTATATTAATTAATTAATTTATTTATTAATTTATTTGACAATTTTTAATTAGTTTAATATGTTGCAGGCATGTGCTATTTGAAGTATCTCCTGGATGGAAACTCTGACGATTTACCCGACCACTCAGCGGATCTCGAGAACGCTGCAACTGACGATGACGTAGCTGTTGGTGATGACGATGAAGAAGATGAAGATGATGACGAATTGATAGACGCCCCCAGCGGCAAAATCGCAAGGTCATCTCTCAGGAAATGCTTCAAGTACTGTGGCTACGTAATGAGCGTCCTCTGCATTCTGATCGGTGGCTTCATATTTGGGGTGACGACGACGCAGAACGTCATCGATGACGTCACCAATACTGCTACTCTCGTCTGCGTTTGATAATCATACATTTATTTATTGTTATTATTGTTGTTGTTATTATTATTATTATGACCACATTAATATAACAATAATCCATTTCGCTACAGTTATTAATAATATAACGTAATTAAACATAATTAAAATATCTAACGGTAATTATGTTTACAATTATCATTGTTATTGTTATTATTATGTTATTATTACTTTTTATTACTATTATTTTAAAAACTAGTCAGTCAGCGAGAAGAAGATGGTTGACTAGTGAATGGGCTGATTTTTAACTGAAACCCGTTTTTTTATAATGTTAATAAATAATTAGGAATGGGACGGGTCCAGGAAATCGATAATTGATAGGATATGAATTATAAACAATTTTGGACAATTAGTGATGATCCTCATTCACTTTTTTGGAGTTTTATACAAAATTAACTTTTATCTACCTACTATATTTTGATTTTTTTTGTGTTCATTTTATTCTTGTTTTTTTTTTTTATTTTTAAAATGAAATTAATTTCAAAATTTTAGGTTTCACACACACAAACAGACAAACAAACACACACACAGACACACTAACTTTTACGCTGGGACCAACGAAATTTTTACACTTTTGATTTCAAATCATGGTAAATTATTCTCTTTTTAAAAATTTATGTTTTATAATTATGATATAAAATTATATCATAATTATAAATTCTTTGATAGACTTATAACTAACTGTATATAGATATTTTAAAATATTTCTTATTATTTTTACTATGGTTATTCTTATTTTTTCTTGTTAACATATTATTATTAATTATTATTATTCAATTGTCATTGTATGAGAATTTTGATTTTTCAGATTCTATGCAACATTGATACAAGAGAATTATCGTCAGTTTTTTAAATGTTAATTTTAATTTATTGGACTTCTCCACGTTTTAGAATTGATTTAAAATTAAATTTTTTCATTGATCTAACCGTTTGTCATATTAACGTAACATGCATTTCATTGTTATCCATTTTAAAATGCTAGATCTTTTGTACTGTCGAGTTTTTTTTAAACAATAAATTTAAATAACCCTTAAATAATTGGAAATTGTGTTATTTCATTGAAATAATTACTTACAGAGTAAATAAGTACAGTGTGCATAACATGTTGTTCTATTTGACATTAAAACTTTTCCCTCTGCTTTGTTTTGTATGGTAAAATCTTTCAATATCAATGGTTCTCTTGTCTTCTGAGCTTAATTTGTGTTGAGTCTATTAGATACATATAAACTCGCGCAATTTTAAACGCTGAAAAAGTTTTTTAACACGCAAGCTATATATTAAAAATTTTGATGAATCAATAATGTGAAATAGTTTTCAAAGAAAAAAATTACATTATGATCTTGAAAATATGAAAGATCGAATGTAAAAACAAATTTAGCGAATAGAATCGTATAGAATTGTCTGTCGTGAAGACATCCGGCTTGTCTCTAGGCCCAGCATGCCGGGTTCAATTTATTCTTAGCTGTTCTTTTGTTCTTGCAGACGCACTGCATGTTGTCCTTCAGCAGGTTGGGACAGTTCTTGCTCGGAGATTTCACGCACTTACCACTGTCAGCTTTGAAGCAAATCTTGCAGTACGAGTTGCAGGGCAGCCAGAGTTTTCCAGTCAGAGCTGAGGTACTCGGCGAACATCTGCTCCAATCTTAAGTCAAGTTGTAAATTAAAGTCATTCTGAATTTTTAAAATATTTTTGCAAAATAACTCACCATCAAAGCATCCAGCAGGGCTGCCCTCGATAACTGCTCCACCGAGCAACACACAAAACAAACAAACTGCGAGAAAAGACTGCATTATCAAAATAATTTTGGCTCAATTTCAAATTGAAAACTTGCCTTAAATATTTAACCATCTTAATATTTTTTCGCTTTTATTCTCTATACTTCTAGCAAGCGGTGAAAAGGGTTCACTTCTATTTTCAACTCTGTCGGCATCATCAGTGTGCTAATTTATTCACATTATGAATTCAATTATTTATTTTAAAAACTGCTTACAATGCTTCAACACAAAAAGTTGAAAAATTAGATTTTGAAATAGATAGACTGATATTTTTTAAGTTTTATTAATTGCTCGTTCGTGACAAGGTTGTATTCAATCAGGATATGTGAATCTTTTCACGAAAGTTCAACTTACTTTAAATATAAAATAACTGAATTTCGAGCGTGGATTTAAAATTTTGAAGATAGGTAACTAACTCTAACATTGACGATTCTGTCTCAATTTTGAATTTGAACACGTTCAGATTCCATCAAGTTACATAACTTGATTGGATCAAGTTGCATATAATTATATAATTAAAATAACACAAGGACCTGGCGATCGAATGGGTATGAGCCTTCATCTAGCTCAACCAAGGCATAACACGATCCATATTTTCTAGTTTTATTTTGTATCGTATGGACTAGGTGTCTAATTCAGGTGGCGGCAAACGACCTACATCTGATTTGATCGGTTCTCATAATGGATATTGTTAATCAACTAATTGTGAATCAGCAAATTGTAAACGTGCTAAAGTAAATAATAAAAAAAACTGTTGCACGCCAGACATTCATTCCGGGGATGATGAACATGTCGACAGAACAGGCGTTCACAAAGAGAATGATAATCCCTGGTTGACTGTCCTAAAACCTTCGAGAGGTGTAAGTAGGAAAACAGATTTAAAGACAAAAGTAAACTCAACTGTGTGGAAAAAGCTTTTATCATGTGAGTCGTCTGGAGAGGTGTACTAAGCTGGATGTGATAAATAATTTGGTAGCAAATAATATAAAGGTGATTTCTTGTTTGACGACGTTTAAAAAGAATGCATCTGACAAAAATTTCGAGAGAAATTAATTTAATGATAATCAGCCTTCAACAGCTTTCAGAATGTGCATTGGTGCCATAAGTGATAATGAATTTAATGATCCTGAAATATGGCCTGATGTAATTTATAAAAAAAAGGTTTTCAAGGACAAGCAAAATCTGTAAAAGTTGTGAAAACAAACTGTGAGAATAGACTGCATTTTTAAGATAACGTAACGTTGCCTCAATTTCAAATTGAAAACTACCTTTAAATATTGAACCATCTTAATTAACATATTTTTTCTTTTATTTTCTCTACTTCCTAGCAAGCAGTGAAAGTGTTCACTTCTATTTCCAACGCTTTGTTGGCTTCCTCAGAATGTTAATTAATTCACACCAGTTTTCAATTATTATTTAAAAAAAGTTTACATCGCTTTGTTACAAATGCTAAGCTTGAAGTCGCAAAAGAGTTAAATTATAGTTATTCAGAGTTTTACTTGTTTAACATTAAGAAAAACAATTTTTTTTTTACTTTTACCAGTAAAAAAGTTTGGAATCAAACCGACAACACTGTGTTCGATTTGGGAAAAATGACCTCCATTTTTAAGGTCTTTGAACAATATTTGTTGCGCAATTTTGTTAATTGTACTTTGAATATGAAGATAGAACTAAACTTTTATTCAAAATCTTAAAAAAGTTAATAGAAAAATAAAAATAATTATTGGGAACACATTTTGCTCCAGTGACAAACAAAAGTTGTTTAAAAGTTTCTGCAAATTTGAATTATCTCCGGAAAATTATGCCCAGCAGGCAGGATTCTTCAAATCCTTGCTTCTTCTTTTGTTGATGCAATCGCATCTTCTGTTGTTCTTCAGCACATTGGGACAATTTTTGCTAGGAGCACTAACACACTTCCCACCGTCAGCTTTGTAGCAAATTTTGCAGTAGCTGTCACACGGCAGCCATGCTTTTCCAGTCAACTTCATTGTGCCGGGCGTGCATCTGCTCCAATCTTGAATTCATCATTTTAAAATGGAATTTATTAAATTCTTAAACTAGATATAAATAAAAACTTGCAACAAATAAGAAAAGAATCGTTTTTATCATTATTTCAACAACAAAAAATTACTAACCCTCCCAGCATCCTTTTGCGCTGCTTTCAACCAGAGCACCAAGCAGCAGCACAACTAACAAACAACTAACAACGTGAATTGCCCGCATTGTCGAAGTTTTAACGTTAAATCTGACGTAAAAGTTATGGCCAGAGTTTTAAAAAGGTAAAAAATTATTGAAACACTTCCTAGTTCGATTAATAACAACAGCCTTTAAACATGTTACTCGTCTCGTATAAGTACAAAGTTTTCAAAAAGTACTTCGTGTAAATTTGAAAGCTTCGTCGGCTTCATTTACATGTACGAGTGTTCTTAATCGTTTAATTTATTCAATTGATCCTTTGAAATTTTATTAACATAAACACACCTTTAAAAGTTACTACCTGAAAAGTTACAATAACCTTTAAAGAAACAACGCATTTGCATTATTTGTAGCAACGAATGTATTTAGTTTTAACCAAGTACCTAACTTACGTTTATAGATAATTCAACAGGATATCAAACTTTTAGGCGCACATGTTGAATTAATTCGCTATGGATTTGCTGTTTTTTATTACAAATCAGATTTTTAAAAATTTTAATTCAACCATTTTAAATTGACCATTTAAATCAGAAATTTATTTAAGAGAATTTTGTTTTTAAGATAGCAACTGTGATTTAATGATTACAATTCGTTTAAGAGCTTACATGAATCCTACGCAAATTTGATTAAACCAATTTTGTTCAATATATCAGGGAAGCATAAGCATACAAGAATGAATTTAAAAAATTAATTAATAGTAACATCAAATTATTGTAAAAGAAGTTGAAATAAGTTAAAAATTCATTTTGTTAGTGAGGCTTAGACTTCAAAATTATCTTTGGTATGCTTGATTGTTCCTTAGACACGGATAACGTCGATTTCAATTTTTCAAAATTTTTGTTGTTGTCAGTACTAATAAATGTAAATTTGGTAACAACTTCCTCTTACAGAATTAAATAAATGCATTAAATATTTCACATATTTTAGCTAAATATCAATTAATATTTGAGCTTAAGCAGATCACAACTTATTAACATCAACAATAATAATCAAAATAATGATATTTTATACTTTATAACATAGCCAAAGGTTCAACACTCTTTGAATATTTGGATATTTTCATAGAAGAGAGTTTAATTTTTTAAATAAATGTTTACATTATAATTACACCAATATTTGTTCGACAGATGCTGAGCTGAGATTAACTTAAAACTCAGGCAAATTAAGAACCATTCCTTAAGGTCAGATTGTTTGATATATATTGGCGAGGCCACGGCTAACAAGTTCGGTAAAATTGTGGTTATAGTCCTGAGTAGAAACCAGTATGCGATCTACCCACCGACTTTACAGTAATACATTTCCAATTTTGATGACGTTTGAAAATTTCCGAAAAATAGATAACTTCATGATATAATGGTAATTCTTCAGAAACAGTACAAACAGCTTGATTGCCTTTGATGTAATCAAATTAAATCGATTAATCAAATCGTTTGGTAAAGTTAATCTTAAGAGATGTGTGCTGGAGAAAAAGTTAACAATGGTGAAATGAGTTTTTTAATGGAACTGTCCTGCGATATGAAAGTTTGTGAAAATTTATCTAAGGCGATAACATCCTCATTAATATTCTGAACTTTCTTACGTTTTAAAACTTCTATTATTATTATTATTATAAGCAAATTTACGTTTCTTTAGTAACTGAATGTGACTTTGATCAAGATGCCAATCGTAAACCGCCCTATCCTGGTGTGTGTTGGACATTCGCCAATTATTTTGGACAGGGATGAAGTGGGTCTTATACAAAATTGCTTGTCAAATGTATCATTAAAAAATTCAGTATCCTTTAAGAAGTTTCATTTTCTATTTACAGATCTCAAACGAATACATCGTTGAAAATAGTGAATATTCAGACATGTGGACTCTGGAACCGAGGAGGTTAAAGTTAGAATCAGTGCATACTAATTATTCATGAACTTACGCATGCCATTACGCCGATGCTAATTTGTCAGATTCTGTTTACAGAGCCTTCCATGGCAAGGAAAATATTACAATAATTCAATTACAGCACTTTATAATTATTTGTTACCTAGTCTCTAGATAATAATAGGTAACCAACCACCCAAGTGCAATCTTATGAATGGTATACAATTTTCTGGACAGCCTGTATTTGTGTGTGTGTGCGTGTGTGATGTGTTTGTATGTGTGTGCATGTGTGATGTGTTTGTGTGTGTTAGTCAATTTCGTTGTAAAAGTATTTTTTAGACAATTTTATAAAACAGGCATATTTCGTTAAGAAAATATTATTCCTTGTCTAAAAAATATTTACATGAAAATACAGTTCGAAAAAAATTATGACTTTCCAATACAACTAAATTCAATCGAAAGTTGATAACGACAGTAAAGAAGACAGGTACTTTTGTATGAAAGGCACAGAGTTTAAGTAATAAACATTAATAATAAATAGATTGAAATGGTAAAATAAATATATATCAAACGAACATTCAGAGTAAAACAAACAAGCAAGCAAACAAAACTGTCAAATGACTTAGCCTATTAAATCGAAAACAGAATAGATTTGATCACCTAATATCAACGTAAATGGCCGTCAAGTATCAATGTAACTAGAAATGTTCACATCTATGAAATGCATTTATACAGAATTGTATACCACCCGCAAACACGTTATCAATTAACTGTACATCAGTCATTCTTACGTTCAGTTTGACAGCATCTACTCGCGTCTTTGATTTTATTTTTTTAAAAAAAGAAAAATTATTTCAGATTAATTTCCATGGCGTCATTAATCTTACATAGAAAAAAAAGAAAACAAAACCGTATAAAAATTTTGTTGAAAGGGCTAAACAAAACAAAAAAACAAGACAACAACATAGAGACACACCGCGTCATGAGTCTGAAAACTGTCCTTTAACTGGTGAAGCACTGTGAAGCAGACGAGGAAACCTCTTGTGAGGGCGCCTGTGAGATTCAGCGGGAAGATAATGAAAGTTCTGTAGCGTTGTCATCTTTCCAGGATCTGTGTCATCTGTGTGTGTTGTGTGTATATGTGTGTGTGTATTTGTGTGGTGTCATTTGTCAGTGTGTGTGTGGTGTCATTTGTCGGTGTATGTGTGTGTGTGTGTGTGAGTTAACTATTTGTCGGTTGATTTGCTCTAGATATTTAAACATTTGAAGTATTTATAACTTTAAGATTTCGTCATTTAAACCTGAGATTGAGATTCTACTGCTGGTTGATGTTTCTTCTCCCAGTCTTAACATTTCACTCCCATCGCTTACATGATCACCATCGACGTCATCATCAAACTGATGTGGTGACGGAGTGCGAGTGAGGCCAGCTGAAATGCGAATAGACAGCTCATAAGCGCCGATGCAAAACAGGTAAAATTATAATCCAAAAAAACAGGTTCATAACAAAAATTGAAATAATATTTAAAAAAAGTAAATAAATTCGGAAATGTACAAAGTTAACTGTAGCATGGCTGGATGATAACATTTTTAAGCAATGCTCGAACTGACACAACTGAAAAAAAATTCAAATAACTGATACCATTATGAATAGATCAAGCAAATGCTGAGAATAAACTTCTTTTTGGCGAAAAGCATAGATAGTAATCATAGAAGCAGATTAAAAACATCTGGTTAAATAATAGTTAAGCTATAAATTCAGACTTGAATCTGTTATGTACATTTTTTAAACACCTTTGTAAATGAATTTTGAAAGAATTCGCCAAAAAAGAATTAATAATATCAATAATTAATATAATAATTAACATAATAATTAACATAATACGTAAAAATTACGATGATAATTATCGTAATAATAATTATAACTGGAATTTAACAAAAGTAGATGTTATATAATTTATGGATAAATACCAGATGCAATTTCATTGTTGCAATTCTTTTCTGATTCATCTCTAGAAAGGGTTTCCACAGTTCTGGTAGCACTGAGTTGGTTGGTAAAAAATTTTTTTATTTCAATTTATCGAAACTGAAAAAGAATTCAATTAAAAAAATTAAGAAAAAAAAGAAAGATTCTAATTGCGTGTTTCTTTTAAAGGCATTCCATAATTACCAACACACACACACACGCACGCACGCACACACACTCAAACATTCCTATAAGTATGAGAAACTTTGACCGAGAAAAAAAAGAACCTCGTGTCTAACTCTTCTGGATCATCCCAATTTTCTTCCAAAGGATTTGGTGAACAGCTTGAAGGGGTTGCTTCGTTACTATCGTTATTATTATTATTATTATTATTGCAGCTGCCGTCAGCATCCCAGTCATCAAAGTCTTCTTTGTCCCATCGTGATAGTGAAGAAAAGTAGTATTCACCCTCACCGTTGCCATCCTCTCCAGGACTTCCATGACCAACTGACCCTGACCATTTGTCGAGACCCACTTTGCTCCGTTGAGGTTTTGAAAAAGCCTGCATTGAAAAAAAAGAAGATATAAAATATCAATGATATAACGTAAAATATGGTGAATGAGTTAGCTCAAATGGTAATTGTGCTGATAACTTGCGATGAGACCTGGTTCGAATTCACGTCTGCACCGCGTGGAGCGTGTTAATCCATCCAAATGTGTGTGTGTGAATGGTGTGAATGCCGTGCAAAACATTTTGAGTGCCACTAAGTAAGGAGTGATTGCAAGCCGTTCTCCGGATGGCGAAACTGCAACAATGAGTGCAAGCGGAATTATAATTGAACTTCAGTAAAACACAGCGCATGTTAGCCCACACATATATCACACAACAAGCAATAGTCGTGGATCTTTTTGCAGTTGAACTCAGCCACTGCAACATCAGTGCCAGGCACCTTAGCCATTACACTGCCTTCCACTCATACATTTGTATTCCAAAAACTGAAACCAATTCATAGGAATGCGAGTGCATAAAAATAGTTCATTGAGTTTGAAGAAACATTATAACGTGAACAAAGAAAGCCGTTATTCAAATAAGGGTCACAAAAATTATCATAAAAACTTTATAGACAAAAACCTCCTCACCCCACTCTTTAATGATGCATGACCACGTGAGGCCTTTAAAGAGCTAACTAAACCATCTGGTAGGCCATCGAACTCAACTTCAAAATCGTTCTACGTAAAAAAAATAACACAAATTTTTAAAATTTTATTTATAGAATACTTTGATAAAATTAAAATTATAAAAATTTAATAATGAAGGGTAAGTTACCCAAAAGAGATCTAGATAGCGAAGGTTGAGGCAGCAATAGATGAAGACATCGGGGAAATAATAGAGCTGATTGTGGGAGAGATCGCACATCACCAGGCTTTCGAGATCTTCAAATGAACCGGGCACTTCATACAACTTTGATGGGACATTTGGATTATTTGAAATTCAGTATAATAAGAACATCTTGTTAATTACATTCATCTATTGTTAGTGTTATGGAAATTTTTGGTATAAATTCATAAATTCTTCGCTCAGCTACTTTACATTTCATTCGATGATTTGAAATAAATTTTATTATCATAGCAAACTTCTAAGCAGAATTCACATTAATTTTAATTGAATTAAACAAAAAAAGATTTGAGCATTAACAAACTCAACTCCAAAATACAACAAAAAAGTGATTAACTTTCAAATAATGTTTCTCTTGTAATATACCATTTTATAGTTAGAATAACTTAAAGAGTAAACAAATCAAAAAGATTTTTTGAAATTTAAAAAATTAAAAAAAAAAATTAATCATTTATTTATTTATTAATAAACTATTTCATACCTGGTTATTATTCAGCATTAACTCCTTCAAAGATGTCAGAGAGCCAAACTTAAAGGGCAAGCTTGCGATTTTGTTGTAAGAGATGTCCAGGTGTTCCAACAGCCTGAGGTCACAGAAGCTAGCTGGCAGACCCGTTAGCTTATTGCAGCCTGTCATTTCAAAATAAATCAAATCTAAATTTCTTAACAAAATATTTTAATAAGTGGAATATTTCAACAAATTTAAGACTACTAAACACTTTCACGTGTAGCTAATTAATTTTTTAAAAGCATCAACCACACACGCACCACACACACACGCACAATTATACATTCTCACTTTTTCAGTATTTGAAATATGTATAAATTGAAAAAAAGTATGTTTGTGAATTAAAAAAATGTGTTTGTAAATTCAAATAAGAATGTTAAAACGAGTGAACAAACTGAAGAAATGTATATATATAAAAAAAATGATTGCATAAATTGGAAAACCCATTATAAGCATTAGAAAAACACACAACTTACTGAGGTCAACCCATGTCAGGTTAGCCATCATCCCCACGTCTTCTGGCAGTCCCTCTAACCAAACACCCTTCAAATCCAACTTTTGCAAGGAGACCAACTTTGTGACATCATTTGGTAGGAAGGGAGCAATGTTGCTGAAGGAGGCAGCTGTCTCACTCCCATTGCCTAAATAGATTTCTCTCAAATTGATCAATTTTGATAGTGAGAAGAAGAGATTGTTGAAATTTTTTAAGCCATTCTTCTTAAGACTCAAGATCTGCAGGGTTACGTTTTGGCGCAACGCCGTTACAATGGGCAACAAACTGAGAGAGTTTTCATCTAGATACAATTCCTTCAGAGAAGCGAGCTCAAACATCCAGTAAGGCAGCTCTTCAAGTGAATTTGCACTAAAGTCGATTGTATTCAAATGTTTGCACGGTCGAATGATTGATGTGATCTGTGATATACGGTTGTAGCTGCAATTAAAATATTTCAGATGTTCAGATAACGAGAGAGATCTATCGGGCAGATGAGTCAGACAATTCCTCGACACGTCAAATGATTCTAATGATTTTAAAAAACATACACTGTCTGGCAATCTTGAAATTTTATTGTCAGACAAATTCAAACACTTCAGTTTAATCAGTCGACCTATGGAACTTGGCAGCTCTTGAAGTTCATTATGAGAGCAGTCGAGTGATTCCAACGAACGTAAAATACCTATATCAGTGGGCAAACGAGAAACAGATTTGTTGGAAATATCGATGTTGATTAAATTTTTGAAGCTCAAAGTTAATGCCAAGACAGATAGACTGAGGTAGTTCGATCCTGTATTGTTGTTGATGATATCGAGACAATTGTGCTGTATGTTGCAGTTGGTTTGGTCAATTTGTTGAAGTGTTTCAACAGGAGCCCAGAAGTGGCAGTCGTTTTCCAGGTTCAGCAAATTCATTTGAATAAATATTTTTAAAGGACTAGAAACTGAAAATTTTCAAAAATAATATAAAAATCCAAATTTTGTTAATCTAGAAATGAAAAAAATTCACAAGACTGAAAATGAAATAAAACAAACCAGAAAAAAAATTTTACAAGCTAATTATACTGTACTAGCTAGATAGATATATTTTATATAAAATTATAAATAATCAATTTTTTTATCAATTTATGAATGTGATCTGACAAGATAGCACATGTGTGATACATAGATTATTATTATACATTATCATATTATAATATTATATTATATATTACATATCAATATATTATTATAATTATAATATATTATAGATTAGAATATTAAATATCTAGTAATATCTGATATGATATCAATCGGTCAGTAGGACACTGACACCACAAACCACTAAAATAGATCAAAAAATCATCGGCAATCAAATCGGTGAATTTAACAAAAAAATATCAGCCACGACTATTTTTTTTAAATTATTCAGCACTTATTGAAATAAATTAAATTGTAATTAATTTGAAACTACACTAACTAAAGCACGACCTCTTCAATTCTTAAACAAAACCGAAACAGAAAAACTTAAAAGTTATCAAGATTATTTTAAAAGTTAACTTAAATTCTAGGTTTAATTCCATAAACATAGAAACTTTCAATAAGTTTATTTCTATTTTATTGTATACATGGTTCAAGTTTGAATTTAATTTAATCATATTTGATTTAATTTAATGAGAAACTAAATGACTAATAAACGTTTTTTTCTCAATAAAGTGATTTTTAATTGTTTTCAATCGACAGAATGATGCATTAAATGACGATAATAATAATAGTAATTAGAGACGAATATTGGTCTAATTTTACAACTACATTTTAACTATTGTAAAATTCTTAAAAAACAATAGAACAATTTTGATATTATATATCAATATTTTAAATTATAAATAATACCACCATAAATTTATATTAAATAAAATATTACACAGAAAAACGACTCAAACATGAGTCGTCCAAAACTTGTGAAATTCTGTAGCTTTTCGAACAAGAGGCGCAAATCTGTTGAAATTTTATTAAAAAAAATTGAATTCTCTAAAGTAGGGTAATTAGTTGGCTGCTAATTCCCAAGTGTTCCATATCTATTCTATTTATCAATTATATATTATTTATCAATTAGTTATCTACCATTTTATGTATCTTCTTATCTCATAAACAGTGATGGAACCGGAGTTTTGAGACTGAGATGCTTTGATGAACTTTTTTGATCATATCCTCTTACTTCCCGTGTATTACCGTTTCGTCGGAAGATGATTAATTATCTTTCTTTGCCATTTCCGTGTTTTACATAGAATCTTCTGTTTTCCTCTGTCATACCCACTTACTAATGAGATCATATGTTTGCCATATTGACCGAAAAGATAATTAAATTACGTTAATTTCTTGATGGTGACCGACGAGGTTAATGATACATTCTCACCGGATCTGCTAACGTTCGTTACATTGGAGATATCCATGGTTCATACAATGTTTATTAATTTAGCTTTTTATCGTTGTCTATATTTCTTATTTATAACTTCATTTTTATTCACTTATTGTAATTATTTATATTCATTTTATTGTTGAGTGCGACCTATACAACACATACATTTTTTAATTCACAATGTTTGCTTGAAATGAGCAGAATGTACGAACATGTACGAACGCAAGAATGTACGAACAATGACGAACAATGCAAAATTAGTTGTTATCAATACTTTCTAGGATCACTGCATATAATATTTTTAACTTTAATTTAAGTCTCTGATTACACTCAAAAAATTTTCTGAGTAAATTTTTATTAATTGTTTAGAAAACTTAAATTTTTTATTTGAACCGCTTTAATTTTTTTATATTCTCATGACGGTAACATTTAAGAAAACTTTTCCATTAAATTCCCGCTGTAAGGAAACTTGACGACCAACCTACTAAATTAAAAGACAAAAACCGGCGCTTTTAAAAACTTTTTTCAAATGTTAACACGAAGTCTCAAGGATGACATTAACTAATTGATTATATAATTATATAATTTAGAGAAATGCACTTTCATTGATTTTTTAATTTTTTAAAATTAAACTGATAGGAAACATGAAAGCTAGTTTATGAACCGCGTGTTTTCAAGTGCGAGTTGGCTATCATTTAAAATACAAGTTTTGTAAATCCACCGTGAATAATGTGATGGATGAGCTAGATGTCCACAGAGTAAACTTTCCTGTCGTTGAGGGCCTGTTGTTCCCTAAAACTTTCCACAATTTTTGAGCCGTCTGACTTTTCCAGCTTCCTGAATTGGTTTATCTGGTTGATTTTTTGTTGTTGTTACACATGTTGTTGGAATGAAGTATTAACTGCAATAAAATAAATGAATGCGCAAATGTTGACGTGTATTTGAATGTGAAATTAACTTTAATTGAATGAAACATACACAGATCTTCATTTAATTAAAGATTAATTAAAAATGTTTGCTGTTGATATTGAAAAAAATGTTCTATGTATTTTCTATGAATTTTAAATATTTTTTGAAAATTACTCGATGCAAAAGTCACGGGAGCTAAAAAATCACACGAAAGCGAGTATTAATTTAATCAGGCATTATCAATATGTAATAAAATTGATTGCTATTTATATAGGAGTGGATCTAGAGTTTAAAATTTTGTCCGGGTTGAAATAAAATTAAACAAATTTTCTATAGAAATTTTGACTGGATACTGAGTTCTCTATAAAAATTTTGACTGGATACTAAGTTCTCTTAAAAGTCATTAAGAACTCTACTTGGTGCAGGGACACCGTGATGGGTTTCTTGAAGACACGAACGTCGATTGGTTCGTTGCAGGTGAACTTGGAAATGCTTCCCTTGTACTGGTAGAACGATTTGGAATGGGAAAGGAACTTGCTCAAGTCTAACGTCTCGTTGAACTCACCCATTTTCTTCGCTTGTGCAAAATATTCTCAGTGAATTATTTATCGCTATTTATAAAATTCATCAAAAAAAGCCACGTTAAAAATTACAATGACAACCAATTTTATTTGAAATAATCTCAATTTTCTTAATAAGCGTAAACGGAGGTGCAAGCGACTGTACAGAGAATGGAGAAGTTTACGATGCTCACTCTCTGAATATGGTCTTGTAACCAGCGGAAGATGGGCGACGATCTTTTCAAGTTCAGAGTGAACCTTTCCGATCTTTCCATCGAATTTTGAAAACATATGTGAAAATTTTATTAAATGAACCATTTTTTAAATGATTTTCAAAAAAATATTTTAAATGATGTGTTAAGCGTCGCAGTGCTGCCAGGGTTAAGTGAAGTTGCAGTGGCCAGGCTCGAATGCGAGTACGTACCCGCCAATCTCGCGCATTTCAGGCGATGCAGTGTTTGCAATGCGCCGGTTCACAGGCATTTAAATGCGCGGTTTGTTGTGTGAAAAATTGAAAACAATGTAAGAAAAGTTGAAGCAGAAATTAAAATACTAAATGCATTTTTAGAAAATGACGCTTGCATTACGTTTGCGAGAATGACAACCAGGATACTTTTATCGAGGTGGTTTCGGTTTTTGTTGGGATCGGCCATATTCGCGAAGGAGAGGATCATCTGCCAGGTTGAAAAAACGTAAGAAAAATACGTAGACACTGAACAATTTTTTTTTGAGCAAATCTATTTTTTTGAGTAAATCACTAAATCAGTTAATTTATTACGCAATTACATTTTATAATAAAAATAACACCAAAACGAAATATTTCAATTAATAAATGATTGCAAAAACATGTTTGAAACTGACCTCGAAGTCATGTTTCTGTCCCATGATGGCGTGTTCGCCGGGCCATCTGAACATGATCGAGTTGAAGTACTCGCCGTAGTCACCATCGGGCGTGCAGCTCGGTTTGGGACCCACCAAAGCTGCCACTGATGTTTAGTAGTAGTAGTAGTAGTAGTAGTAGTAGTAGTAGTAGTAGTAGTAGTAGTAGTGTTGGTAGTAGTAGTAGTAGTAGTAGTGGTGGTGGTGGTAGTAGTAGCAGCAAAAAAAGCTGTGATGGTAGTAGTATCAGAAGTTTTCAAATTTCGTATTACCGTTTGTATTATTGTTGTTATCAACTGTCATTATTTAAAAAGTGTGATTATTTTTTTGTAGAATTATTAATGATGTTAGTATTAGTTGTAGTAGTAATAGTAGTAGTAGTAGTATAGTAGTAGTAGTAGTAGTAGTAGTAGTAGTAGTAGTAGTGGTGGTGGTGGTGGTGGTGGTGGTGGTAGTAGCAGAAAAAAAAGCTGTGATGGTAGTAGTATCAGAAGTTTTCAAATTTCGTCTTACCGTTTGTATTATTGTTGTATGTGGTGGTGGTGGTAGTAGTAGTAATAGTAGTAGTAGTAGTGTTAGTAGTAATAGTAATAGTAATATTGGTAGTAGTAGTATTAGAAGTTTTCAAATTTCAGATGAGCTGTCGTAATCGTGAGCGTCAAGACATTTCATATAACCTTATCAACGGCAGCCACACCAATAAAAACAGCAGACATATCAGCAGCAGCAACCACATCAACCACACACAAGATCACCAACCCTTTCAAAAAACAACCACAGCGACCACAGCAACCACCAAAACCTCAAAACATCCACAATCCAATCCTCCTAACCCGATCCGTTGTTGTTGACGAGATACAACTGCAACTCTTTATTACCGACAGGCATGTGAAACTTGTGGAAATCTTCCTCACTGGCGGGAATGGTGTGGGTGATATTGGTGGGGCTTTGGGAAGTGCCATTGTAGCAAATGGAGTCGTCCCAGTGTATCAACTCCTTCTCAGATTCGGGAGAAAAATCATCCGAAACTGATACTGTTGAATAAAAATTTCGCGGCCAATGTTATAGTTGAAAATGGTTAATTGAGTTGAGTTGTTAATTTATTGCCTGTTGGTTCACAAATGAAATGATAATTAACAGATGAATAAAAAAACATTTATTGAATTAATAACATTTATTTATTGGTTACAATTCAGATTCGTATTTTTCTGTTAAAATGATTCATGGATTTTACTTAGCAGAAACCAAAAATAAATTATGTTTCTTCTAACAGGTAATAATTTGTTTTTGTTATTGTTATACCGATAACGTATTTCAAAAATATTTTTGACGGTAAAATAAAATCTTATTTTTTAATTTGATAATTCATTAATTGACATATACTCTTACTATTTGCTTTTTAAAAAGTGTTCCAGTCTTATAATTAAAGTCATAGTGCTCTATAATTTAACTTAATGTGATGTAACGTGATTTAATGTGATGTAATGGGATAATTATTCAAATAAAATCTAAAAAATACTGAAAACTGACCACAAAGTTGGACAAAGGCTGCAAGACACAAGATGGCCAGTTCAATTCTTCTTCTTTCTGAAAACATTCTCATCGTCAGCCGCGCTAACTTCAAAATTATAATTTAAGAGATAAAAAAATAGAAGCTTTGATTTTTTTACTTTAAAAACGGTCGGTATTAACTTCTTGCAGCTGCCTCCTTTAAATACAGCTCCGACTGATTTATTTTCGGACTTAAATATCAATCCTTTTGATAAATTAGTAATATTCTGACAAAATAAATTTGATAATTTGTAGAGAAAAATTCACAGTTTGGAGTAACTTAAATAGATCGTCTAGATTAACTTTTGTCCTAATTATAAATTTTTAAAAATAATTTGCAAGTTGGCCCGAATTTGACCAATATTTTGTTTGGAGGTCTAATTATAAGTCTGAGATTATATTAAGACATAATTAGATAGTTATTATAATATATATGTATAGATATAATTAATAATATAGATAATATATGAATTACAATATCATGACTGCAGTTAATTTTATTAACTTTGTAGTTGTTATTAGTTGATCAAATTAATTAATTATTAATGACTGTAGTTGTCAATAATTAATTAAATTATTTGTCTATTGATAATTAAATAATAAATTATGTAATTAATTTTTCGAACTTATTTTTTACTTATTTTTAGTTGATAACTTAATTTGAGTTTTAAGCGATTTATGCTATAACAACGACGTAAACAACAACAAAAACAACATTGTTAACAACGCAAACATTACAAGCGGCCACGTTAGCCCCAACAACGACAACGACATTAACTACACCGACAACATTAATAACAATATCAACATAATCAACAACGACAACAACAAACAAACACCACAAACAACATCAATAGCATTTTTCGTTTCAAGTAAATCTAATGATTTTGCAATTAATTGGGATCATAAACATTGAAGTTACATTTCCCAACATCTGGCCTCGTTTGTATTGTATGCTAATCGCTAGAAGGAGTAAAACTAAGACGGTGCAAAAGATTAGTCTCGTCTATAGTAACATATTTCAGGGTTTTTTTTTAAAACGTTGTCATTAATTTATAACATTATGTCACCGTGTTGCATTAAGTCAAATGACATTACTTTACGTTATGTCACATCACATTATATTGTAATTGCTGTCGGATTGAAAATCCTAACGATTAAAATTAACAATCTTTAATAATAAATAAAACACCACAAAACTAGCAAAGTGATTCCTGGGAGCTAGCTACATAAAGGGAAAAACTTCGATACTATTCTGATGGGTATTCGAGCTGCTAATGAGCCCACTTTTTGGACGAAACACGTGTCCAGCCTATCCAAACGAATACTATTCTTTTCTTCTTTTTACTCCAGCTCACTCAGCTCACTGCTCTCTCTGGTTTGGTGTTCTCATACCATAGCGCAACCGTAACATCACATGACGTTATATCCCGTTGTCATCACAAAGCTGGGATAAAAGAACAATTTGAAAAACCAAATTTTACATAAAATGGAACATTTTATATAATTAATTTTATTATTACTATCACTGTATGTTTAATTTACATTTCTTTGCGGGACAGTAGCGAAATATTTTAGAGTTTGCGCAAAGGAAAGTGTATCGATTTGGCAAATTACAATTTTACCCATTCTCATTTAAGTGGTTTCATTATTGAATATTTCATAATTTTGAATGAACGATCAAAATAAAACTAAATAACTTAATAAAAGATATGTTCTTTGTTAGTCCGTTTAGCAAGCAGTGTGATAGTGGAAATTTATTTTTGAATAAATTCAGGTTGACCAGAATTTTGAAGTAACAAAGTGACAAAATTTTTATGAAATAAACGAACTATTGTTAAAGTTAATGGCACACATTTTTAAAATTAGGTAAATAAAAGGAAACATCACACTTAACATCTGTCAAAAGTGTTCAAAATATAATATTGATAGATTGATTTGCTGAATGTCTAGTCTATCGGAGATTAATTCATCGTTGTTAATTATAAGCATTCCACTAACAACTGTCTTAGTATAGGAATTGGATCATGGTAGCAATAAAGAAAGATTAAAATGAGATGATCAAATTGGCACATTGTTTTAATGAAAATGTGAGCCTCACCCTCACATGTTTATTTTTTGTTTTATATAAATCTTGTTCAGCCAGAAAAGATCAACAATTGTTCTTATAAATTCGTTCTAAACTCCTCCTTGCATGCGCGCTTGTAAAGGAGGAGCTACCTCTAAAGTTAAAATTGCATTACGTGGATCAGATCTGAAAGAGTAACATCATTGAAGTACTATAAGCAAATCTTTTGTTAACGGACATTAAAAGAGAGATGGAGCGTTTGGTCTTGATATTAATTCACTTATAAATCAAAGATCAGCTTTGAACATAATAGGGATAAGAAATGCATTGATAAATACCCTATCCTTAGATTCTGTTTCTTCGGGCTTTCTATATTTTGATCTTCAACATTTTCAGAAGTCGCGAACCTCCACACAACATTTCATGATTAAAGTGCGTAAAATAAATTATCTTTGTAACAAATTGAAACTTTTCATAAAAAAATATTTATACATCTGACTGTTGGACGTGATTGATGCAATTTGGCATAATGCAAATTGTATTCCTGAGGTGACAGATTTGATGACTGTGAAATTGATGTACCTATGATTGTAGAGTGGATTTCACGTATGCGTGAGCGTAAAGTGAGTTGTTGATAGTGTGGCTGAAACAAAAAATTTTATGAATGAATGAGCTAAAGTATGAGTAGAGAATGGATTTGACATCCTGTGTGGTTGTTAATGGAATTGAATTGTATGGCTGAAGTGACAAATTTGATGACTTGAAATACGATGCGTAAAATGGATGGTCGATGTGTTCGCCTAAGATTGAAATTTGTCACAAAGTTTTAATGATACTTCCTCTAGAATAACTACCATTGTGGTATTTGTCATTTAAGTTTTTTGTAAATTGGGTGGTGTGTAATATTATTTATTTAAAGAGAACAGGTTGGTAAGGGAGAGAGAGAGAGAGAGAGAGAGAATTTGTATAAGGTGAGCGTGCATTGCATACTTCTCATTGTCTAGGCGCTTAAGTGCATAATCGTCGGTATTTATAGCGGTGATGAAACATGTGCGATTGAGAAATATCTACTCTACATTATTGAACTGCTCGTTAAATAAAAGCTTTTAACTGTGTCAAAAGTTTTGAAATAAAATCTGTTAAATATTAAATAAATTATTTCTATTAAAAATATTAACTGAGTCAACCAGAACAACGAAACTCAAATCTCAAAATGAACCTTAATAGGCCTATCATACTCTCCTTACTGATCATCTTCATCTCGTCTTCCAACTCACTGGACATTTGCGGCTCTCCATTCCACGATGTCGTTTCGAAATCTCACCTGGCCGATGTTGTTGTCAGCGGGAAAATGATGGTGAGAATAGAATCAAAACTCTCTTCGTCTAAGTGGCATTACGCAATCAAGTTCAACGTTGATGAAATCATCAAAGGCACCAACCAGACCTCAAAAGAAATTTCAGAAAACCAACAAATCACCATCGAAACATTTTCCGATGAAGTTGAAGACCCCGTAGAATGTTTTTACAAGGACATTCATCCCACCCTAAATTACATCATGTTCCTAAGGGCTCCAAACTCGACCCTACCCTCGGCCTCACTATACAGACTAAACTCATTTCCAGTTTTGAAGGCTGAAAACGTGACTGAGCAGATAAGGAATGGGATTTGTGAGAACTGCACTGATGCTCCAACTGCAATGATGGCTGAAAATTCCAACGTGATAGAGATTGGATGGGGAAGAACTTCGAAGCTGGATTGCAAGTTTGCCGGCCGCCCCACACCTGTCATCACTTGGTACCGCAACAACGAAACCATCACAAACAATCGTAAATTCAACATTATAGTCAACGAGTTAGTGGAAACATTGCTTTAAAATTTCATATTTCTTGACAAATTACTGAAAATCACTATTGAAACGTGCCTAACTCTAGCATTACTCAAACTTCATAAATATTTGAAATGTTTCACGAATAGCACTTGAAATTGAAAAAACTAGAACAACGTATGCAATCACTTTCATTTGATAACATGTGCAAAAAATAACTAGTGGCAACTTTTAATAAAATTGTTTCAATACATGTACTACTACACTCTATCGTACGATCATTCAGTCATCAGTATCATATAAATATAAACATAACATAGTATAGTTCATAAAATCAAACTCTCAAAATTGACGTGTATGTGTATGTGGAAGGAAATTTACTAATGTACCATTACTCACCTCAGAGATTCTTCGAGGTTGGAACTTATCAGGATAGTTACCAGGTACGCCGGTAGGTACACCTGTGTGGCTGAGAACGTGGCTGGCAGGTCCACAGCCGCAATTGATGTCAGTGTTCTGTCTCGTGAGAAAACATGTTAGAAGTTATTTCATTTGTATTGTTGTAAATTTTCTTGCTTCTTCGAGGTTGGAACTTGGTTGGTTGGCTGTAAGATGTACTTTCATGGTTGGTTGATTGGTTGGTTAGTTGGTTGGTTGGTTAGTTAGTTGGCATCATACATCATGCTCGTAGACACAAATTTCCATAGTTTTTTAACTATGGTTTATAACTATATTTGTATAACTTCATAACATTTCAAATTTTTACGATTTATTTTTTATTTCATTTCTAATTCGTCGTTATTTCTTGTAAATGGCTAACATATTTTAGTTTTTCAATCGACTAATAAATTATAACTCAAACATATTTCATCACGTTCAAATTTAAAAAATTTTTTCGATTGTACATTTTCCATCCATCCAACCAGCCAACCAACCATGAAAGTACATTTTACAACTAACCAGCCAACCAACTAACCATAAAAGTACATTTAACAACCAACCGACCAACCAACCGACCGACTAACCAACCAATCATAAAAGTACATTTAACAACCAACCAACCAACCAACCAATTAGACCGAGAACCTTTCCTTCGCTGCCCGGAAAGATTGAAGAACCACTGCCTGAACAACGGCCTCTGCGTCCTCCCCCATCACAGCCATATTCCTACTTGCCAGTCAGTTCCAAACTCAAATTTTTTGTTTCCATCTTTTTTTTATTCTTTGTTTTTTAGATTTAATTTTAAATTTAAATATTTTTTTATTTACAATGAGTAGGAAAAAATTATATTTGTATTAATTTTTATTCATTCGATGTTAAATTAAGTTTTATAATTCCTAATTTTTGTTATTATCTATTATAGATATGAAAAAATATGAATACCATTTTTTTGGTAATAATTAATTTATCTATCTGTGTGAAATACTTATAATGATAGTTTTAATTCGTACGTTTTAGTTCATTGAAGAATGAATTTAAGGTCATTAACATGCAAAAATTGCTAGTGTTGTCATTTTATAGCTTATCACTTGAACATCATCGTCGTCATTATCATGTCATACAGAGCAAGGTTGCTAGCACAACACTGTATTGTGTATACCGTCTACACTGTTAACATTGCCATCATCATAACCATTTATCATCACCGTCATCTTCATCATCGTCATCATCATTATCTTCTTCTTCATCACCGTCATTTTCATCACTGTCATCATCACCATCATCTTCATCACTGTCATCATCACCACCATCATCATCATGACAACGCAGATGTGATGGGCTATATTTCTACGGACCGAGATGCAGTCTGTCGACCGGAGAAGGCGAGTTGAAAGAGAAAGAAAGTGGGTTTTTCCAAATTGAGAATTTTACGACCTCACAATGATTTAAATATAGATTTATTAAATTTAAATAGTATTATTGCATATTAACTATTAAAGAGAAACTTTTCCTTTTTTAACAAAAATCTCTATATAACGAACTTTTTACGTTTTTAAATTTTTATATAACGATTTTTTAGAATTTTACTTAAAAAATTATTTTTGTAGAACAAAAATAATAAAAAACTGTTAAAAATCAAAATTTTGCTAAGAACAAAACTCGTAACCGAACCGAAATATTTTTTGCTAGTTTAACCGAAACCGAAAACCGTAACGAGATAACTAACGGTTCGATGCTAAAAATTTAACAAAAAAAGTTTGGTCAAATTCAGAAAAAAACTTATTTAGATAATACTTCGTCTTTTGAAATTCTATGTTAATTTTTATTATCCTTGAAAATTTGTTATCTCTTTTTTCGTTTGTTTTTCCGACTGAGTTCGCCGATAATTTGAGTAAGAATTGCCACGTGAAAAGAAATCCAGTATAATTGGAAAAATTAGAGATCAAGTGCGATCATCTTAAAAATTTTGAAGTACCAGTTACACACCTGCATACATGAGCCTGGAAACATCTGTTTTGAGATTAAAATTTATTCTCAGAGACTGCAGAAGTGGTTTCAATAAAAACATTTTAGAAGATATATTAAAATTAGAAGAAATTTTTATCTTTTTTGAAACAATCTTATTTTTATATGAATGATTTCAAAATATTTTTGAAATGATTGTTTTAATTTGTTGAAAAAAGTATTAAAAACGTTTCATTTTATATTTATACTGACAACACTTAAAAATCATTTTTGTTATTGATTTCTTATTATTCACATTCTAAAATGTAATTCAAATTGGCATTGTTTTGAGAGTTGGATGTCCGTATGTCCGTTACATGCGTTTAAGGAACTATGCTTGAAAAAATTAAGTTTCGGAGCGAAACCGGAAACCTAAGGAAAACCGATATTATTTTAGGAACGAAAACCGGAATTGAACCAAAATTTATTTGGCTAATTGAACCGAAACCGTAAATCGAAACGAAAAAATTACGGTTCGATGCCCTGGAAATACACGACCGGCAAACAATCCGTGAATTGATAGGAGCGATGTTTTTGTACGCCTTTAATATCTTAGAGCCATATTCACTGTTTCTTGTTCTAGTATTCTAGTAATTTTTGCATGCCAAATGATGCCAGCCACTACAACCATTACACTATTTCGTCATCCACATCAGTTCATAATTTTAATACGGATTTAAATATAATAACCCCAAGCAAACTAAACTTAATAAGCAACTGCAGAATTCCCAAGAAATGTAAAAACCATATTTTGTTAGATAATCTTTTGTAGGTAAATCAATATCACCAAAGCAACATGTGCATAACAACTTGAGATAATTAATTCTGGCACATGTGAGTTTAATTATAGATCAGTCCTAAATATAATTATCTAAAGTATCTCTTAAAATATAAATACATTTGGCGTATCCGTGTATGATGTGTGTGCTCTAAAAACAAATTTTACAAAATTGTGAAAAATTACGGTTTTTGGTTTCGGTTAAACTGGCAAACAATATTTCGGTTCGGTTACGGCTTTTGTTCCGAACAAAATTTCAGTTTTTAGCGGTTTTCGGTTACTGTTCAGTTCCGGTTCGATGCCCTGCAATAATCTCCTAATCATTTCAATCATCTCCCAATCATTTCAATCACCTCCCAACCATCTAACACTCAGAAGCAGGGCAGCACAGTTTCAGGGACGTCATGATGATATTGTCAGCTGTCATTGTTGGCATCATCTTTCTGGCCGTTCTCATCACCTCTATATACTTCTGCAAGTCAGTATGTGTATGTACGTGTGTGCGTGTGTGTGTGCGTGTGTGTGCATGTTGTTATTTTCTATACACATACGATATCTTCATAATGAGTAGAGCTAGCGCGTCTGCACGTTAATCTGCTTGACGACGCCTTTTATAGTGCAGGATGGGCAAGTATCTATCAATTTATCTATTTGTCTGTCTGTTTATCTATCTTTTTATCTCTCTGTCTGTCTGTCCGTCCATCCATCCATCTATCCATCCATCCATCCATCTATTTATCTATCTATTATGTAACTATCAAATTCTGATCTCATCAAAAAACTATCAATTCTTTCGATCACTCACATTTTGTTCAATTTTTATACGGACGGTGGTTTCACCGTATCTCACGCTTTTACTTTGCACTGGTCCAGCCAGATGATGTGCCTGCCAGAACTCAGAAACTACCCAACTCCACCTGATTTTTGTGGAGGTAGGCACGATGCGATGTGACACTGAAAGTCCAACTGAACAGCAAGTTAAGACGCAAGTCATCTAAGTCAACGCCAGTTCTCAATAAATTTCTATCGATTTTCAAATTCGCTTTAAAATACTTGATTGTCTTTTTATAAAAACAAATTAAACCGAACTTGAAAAGTAAGAGAATTGTTAAATTGCAAACATTCACTCAGTAACACCAAAGCCAAGAGACTTCGCAGGACAACCGGCAACTTTAAAAAACTGTACCAAACAAAAATATATACTACATGCCAAATGCCAACAACAGAAACACCTGAGCAGATGAATTTCAATTCATATCTCGAAAAAATTTCCCCCAAAAAAACAAACAAATCAACTTATACAGAATCCCCTTTATTTTTCTAATTTTATAGCGCTTAGTTAGGAAGGTAGGATGAGCTAGGTAGGTATTTTGATCAGTTTCGTTTCTTTGACTGAGGCACTTATCAACGGATCTCACTGGTTATATAATAATAGATAATAGTAATAATAAAATGTTAGATAATAATAATAACAGCAACAACAATAATAATAATAAAATAAGAGAATAACTTTTGCTTTTTATTTTTAATTACGTTAAGAATTTAAATGTTTCTGTGTGCAAACACGCTAGAGTAAGAGTGATGATGATGATGATGGTGATGGTGATGATGATGGTGATGAATAGTGATGATAATGATGATGATAATGATGATGATGGTGATGAATAGTGATGATAATGATGATGATGACGATGATGACTAACGAACGATGACGAAGTTGAAAATGCGTGATGAGAATTAACTCTATTTTCGTCAAACTAGTTTATAAAAGATTTCACGAATAATAATAACAATAATAATAAAAATACTAATACTAATATTAATAATAATATTAAAATTTTTAATATTACTACTACTACTACTAATACTACTACTACTACTACTACTACTACTACTACTACTACTACTTCTACTACTACTACTACTACTACTACTACTACTACTACTACTACTACTACTACTACTACTACTGCTACTACTGCTACTACTACTACTACTACTACTACTATTAATAATACTACTACTACTACTAATAATAATAACAATATTAACATTGTAGAAAACACAGCTCGGTTAAACGAACAACGTACAAGAATCAGAGGGCAAAGTTACTGGACGACGAAGCATTTCAGAACAGGAAAATCTACAAAAATAATAATAATAATATCATCAAAAACAACAACAACAATAATAATAATAATAATAATAATAATTGCAACATCTTGATGGAACAATCTTCGTCAAACGTTTGAAATTGTCCGATTGGTGAGTTGTATCTCTTGTTATTTATGTTGTTGTTGTTATTATTGCTATTATTATTGCTATTATTATTATTATTATTTTTAGTATTATTATTATCATTATTATTATTGTTAATTTCATCTTTCTGTGTATTTATTGTTAGTTTTTTAATTTCTGAGACAAGCCTCCTCTTTGTACGTAATTAAAAATATGATGAAGAAGAAGTGCTTGAGATTTAATGATAATATTAATAATAATAATAAAATTAATAAGAATAATAATAATAAAATTAATAAAAATAATAATAATAAAATTATTAAGACTAATGATAATAAAATTAATAAGAATAATAATAATATTAATAATATTGATAATACGATAATACTGAGCAGAATAACTGTAGCAGTAGTATTAATAGGAAAAAGCAGCAGTAACATCAGTAGTAATAGTAGTAGTAGTAGTAGTAGTAGTAGTAGTAGTAGTAGTAGTAGTAGTAGTAATAATAGAAGTAGTAGCCAGAGCAGCAGCAGTAGTAGTAGCTAGTAGCAGCAGAAACAGAAATAGTGGTAATATTAGTTGTAGCAGTAGTAGTTGTTGTAGTAGTAGTAGAAGTAGTAGTAGTAGTAGTAGCATTAGTAGTAGCAGAAACAGAAATAGTGGTAATATTAGTTGTAGCAGTAGTAGTTGTTGTAGTAGTAGTTGAAGTAGTAGTAGTAGCAGCAGAAACAGAAATAATGGTAATATTAGTTGTAGCAGTAGCAGTAGTACCAGCAGTAGGTAGTAGTAGTATTAGCAGTAGTAGTAGCAGTAGTAGTGGTAGCAGCATGAAAATATAATTATATCATCATATGATGTGTCACGAACGTAATATGGGTTCACCTTTGTTTGAAAACCTTTCTCATGTCTGGTGTATTGAATAGTCACAGCGGATATAGCACGAGTCATAATAATAATTATAATAATTATTATTATATTTATTAATAATAATAACAAATTAATAATAATAACTAAAAGAAATAATAATTATAGATACGTTTCAGTCAATCCTAGCCGACGATCGGCTTCTAAGCCTACACTTGATCAACACCTGTTTCGATACGTATATAGAGCCGGAACTCCTCAATAGCGAACTTCTATACAACAAAAACCTCTATATAACGAATTGAGTGTGTACGTGTGTGGCGCGTGTGTGTGTGTGGGGGGGGTGTGT